CAGAATTAGTGGGAGGGGGGTGGGAGCCCCACACTGAGCGCAGGGGGAGGGGGGTCTGGGGATTGGGGGGACGATGGGAAAGGGGTGGGAGAGCAGGAAGAGGGGGGCCATGGGGGTCCCTACAGCGTTTTCCTGGGGCTCTGGGGGTCGGGGGTCGGATCTGCACTGGGGGAGTCCCCAACCCGCCTGTCCATCCCCGGGGGGCTGATGGGGGGATTCCCCCCCAGCCAAGAGCCGGTGCTGCGGCGGCCGTGGGGCAGAGAGGGGTGGGAAAGGGGGGTCCAGAGTGGTCCCCTGACCTTCCGACCTGGTGTGGGGGGCTGGGGGATGATGGGGGGCGACGGGGCACCCCCTGACCCGTGTCCAGCACACGGGTCAGGGGTGTTCCAGTGGATGGGAAAGGCCGAGTGTCACTTCATCAACGGTACCGAGAGGGTGAGGTTCGTGGAGAGGTACATCTACAACCGGCAGCAGTTCATGCACTTCGACAGCGATGTGGGGGTCTTTGTGGGGGACACCCCCTTTGGGGAGATCCAGGCCAGGGACTGCAACAGCCAACAGGACGTGCTGGAGCCCAGACAGGTTGCAGTGGACACGTACTGCCGGCACAACTACGAGGGATCCACCCTGTTCTTTGTGAACCGCAGAGGTGAGCGCGGGGCAGAGCGGGTCCCCTCAGAAATTCTCCTGTCCCAGAAACGACTCTGGAGCCCCTCAAACCCTCCCTGGGAATCACCCCAGACCCCTCAGCCCTCCCTGTGCCCATCCTCGTGGCCTTGTGCCCCCTCCCAGTACACCCCAGTCCATCCCAGTCTCTCCCAGTGCCCCCCCCGCGTCTCCATCCCGCAGGGGCCATCGCTCTCCCTCCCCTCAGCCAATCACAGCGCGTTTCTCCGATGACGCATCAGTTGCCGGGCAGACCCGCAGCGCAGAGTTCCCTCTCCAAGACTCAGCCTCCCAGTTCCGCTCGGGTCATTCCCAGTCCATCCCAGTCCTTCCCAGACCCTCTCACTCCACTCCCAGACCCTCTCAGTCCATTCCCAGTCATTCTCAGTTCACTCCCACATCTCCCAACTCTCTCCCAAGTGACCCTCCCAGCCAATCCCCTTCTACCCCAGTCCATTCCCAGTCCCTCCCAGTGCCATCCCAGTTCTTTCTAGTGCCACCAAAATCCCTACCAATGTCCTACAAGCCATCTTCCCTCTATCCCAGTCCCCCCTCCAGCTCACCCCATTGTCTCCCCCGTCTCTCCCAGTGTCCCCCAGCGTGTCCATCTCGCTGGTACCATCGAGCTCCCAGCCCGGCCCCGGCCGCCTGCTCTGCTCCGTGATGGATTTCTACCCTTCCCCGGTTCAGGTGAGGTGGTTCCAGGATGGGCAGGAGCTGCCGGAGCACGTGGTGGCCACCGACGTGGTCCCCAACGGGGACTGGACCTACCAGGTGCTGGTGATGCTGGAAATGCCCCCCCGGCGCGGGGTCACCTACACCTGCCAGGTGGAGCACGTCAGCCTGGAGCACCCCCTCAGCCGGCACTGGGGTACGGCTCGGCCCCCCCAGCATGGGGGGACACTGGCAGGGGGGGCTGGGGGAGCACTTGGGACACTGGGAGGCATCTTGAGGGGCGATGGAGAGGCTGAGGAGGAGGTTGGGGGGTCCTGGGAGGGCTGAGAGGGGCTGTGGGGAGTCGTGGGGGCAACTGGGAGGGAGTTTGGGGGAGCCCAGGTGGGATGGGAGGGAGTCTGGGGGGGTCTTGGGGTGATTGGGAGGGGGTTGGGAAAGTGCTGGAAGGGCATGGAAGGGACCAGGTGGGGTTCTGGGGTGTCCTGGGGGTGATGGGAGGGGGGTTGGAGGGTCCTAAAGGGGATGGGAGGGGCTTTGTGGGATCCTGGAGGGTCTGGGAAGAGACTGGCAGGAAGTTTCAGAGAGTCCTGGGTGGGTTGGGGGAGACCAGGATGAGGTTTGTGGGGTCCTGGGTGGTCTCTGGGAGGCTTTTGGGGTCCTGACCCCCCCAGCTTCCCCCAGAGATGCCACAGGACATTGTCCACAGCAAGATCCTGGTGGGGGTCGGGGGCTTCGTGTTGGGTTTCGTCTTCCTGGCACTGGGGCTCGGCTTCTACCTGCGGGAGAAGGTAAAGGGGGGTCCCCGGGGGTCGTGTCCCCCCTTCCCCAGAGCATGTGTGTCCCCCCTGCCCCCCCAGCCCGCTGTCACCCCTTTTCTCTCCCCACAGAGCTCCTGAGCCGGTGGTGGCCGCAGCCCCTCCCCGTGGCCTCGGGCCCAGCCGGGACCCCCCAGTCCATCCCCTGCTGGAGTTTGGGGGTTCGTGTGTCCCCCCCAGCCCTTCATTTGTTATCACACCAACCACCTGCTGCTCCCAATGCTCCCAGTAAAGCTTCCCAGTTCTCTGCAGTCCTGGTGTTGAAGGGCAGGTGCCCTCCCAAAGCCCCCCCAGAATCAGCTTATGCAAATTGTACAATGGTTGGCACCCGTTGTCTTTCTGCTTCCAGGAGTGTGTATTTTTCTGCCATGTCTGGTTCAATGTTTTCTCAGCTTAATGGCTCAAACTGTGTCTGCTTTGTTTAAAGAAAAAGGGGGAAGTGTAGGGATTTTTAGTGCTAACATAGAGGATATGCTGCAGCTGT